TTGAAAATTTTGAAATCCAAACTTTTCCTATCGACACTTCGATGTGATCTTCAGGCAAACTATGTTCTAAAAAAGTCCAAAAAATTTTCAGACACTGATGTGTAAAACAGAAGAAGGGGATAGACGGCGGGGTAATCAGAAAAATTGGTAATGAAAAAAGAGATGAGAGGAATGACTGTTATGCATGATTGCGATGATTTTCTTATATCATTTCTGCTTCCCTCTGATCCTCTTTCTTTTGAGATCGATTCGCATGGGTAAAAGCACGAGGTTGGAAAGCACCAAAGCACCCCGCCGTAAATTCGTTCATCCCTATTCAGTGCTAAACCATACTGGGTACCAGCTCTTCAAGACAGAAATGAAAGATCAACTAAAACCAAGCTCTTCGTAAAGCAATGCTTGTGGAACGAGATAATGGCTCAGATATCTGTGCATAAAAGATGCCTCACGACCATTGGTGGCTAAAACTGGCTTGTAGCTGCCAATTTTTTTTATTTCGATGTAAAAGCTGTGAAACAGTACAATCGCAGCTGTAAAACTCTGGGATGTGAGTGAATTGAGATGAATCAATATTCCCAATCAATAGGCAGGGCTCTTTCGTTACCATGATGTTCACGAAAAAAATGAAAAAGAAGACGAAAATGCCAGTCCATGATATCATGACTTGAGGGGTATGAAAGCTTGTCTTCTATGAAAATGCGCCTGATGAGCAAGAAGACCAGAATGGCAGTTGAATGTACTGATTTTTACGAACTTCTGGTGGATCAGGACAAGATCAGACCAGGACATGAATAAGCATCGCTAAAAACATTGCTGAAGAAAGCAGAATCAAAAATTTTGGGCGGTTTGCAGCCAACTGATTTCACAGTAGATTGGGAGTCGCCAGAAGAGTGGTGGGTAGCCGAGCTAGTGTTCTCGGAGCTGAAAATCGCCCGCTCGAGTAGAGAATTACCGGAAGTCGGGAGTCGTTAATCGCTGTCCGCCAGTACATGGTTCAGAATCGATGGACGCCATGGCGTGGACGTCGCCGTCGTCGATGGCCGACGGCCGCCGGCGCCTTCGCCCTGCCGCCACTCCGCCCTAATAGTCCATCCAGCCCAACGCCTCTCTCGGGTCGACCGCTGGTCTCGTCTGGCTCTGCCGTCCGACCACCTCTGCTTTTCACAGAACATTTCATCGTTTTCTCTGATGCCTCCCGATATAAAGCGAAAACCTTCGCCATGCTGTTAATCGCTTGCATTTTTAACTNGATTGGAATCAAGAGAAGTTTATCCGTTTAAGATCTACAAGTGGGGAATTTGCTATCAGAAGAAAAGTCCTGACGGGTGCATCAGTTGCACTCATTTCTCAGTATTTCATATGCGGGAGTGTCTTTTATTCCCGCAATAATCGGGCAAAAGCGATAATCAGTCTTGGGGCTCATAAATTTACTACTCAATGGAAATTCTTTTGGAAATCGATGACATTGAAAAAAAAACTCTTGATTGAATTCTGCTGGTCGTAATTTCAGAGCATTAAAAAGAGGGATTGCCTTCCCGAATCAGATCAAGGACGTGGGGAACCTATAGCACTAAAAATGAAATGTTGCTTTAAAAACGGCTGAAAACGTTTAAAAACAGTTGCTGTTTACTGAGAAAATATAGGGTAATTGTTCTTGTGGCGGACGAATGTGGTGTGATGGCATGAAGCAAACCATCACACAAGCATGGTTCGGGGATCGAATTTCGATTCCAGACTAAGCTAACCATGTCCTTCATCCTACCAGGGTTATCTATTCGATATTGGACTGGTGGGGAAGGATGAACCTACCAAATTGTACATCAGCTGGCTATCGCAAACCATTGTATGGACTTTAGGCGCATTTAAAACACCATCGCAATCTTAATGAAAGACGAATGCGGGGCGTATGCCAAGGGCAGTACTGATGAACATCAAAGTCTTATTTTACTTCCATTGTTCCAGTAATCGTTTTCAACCATGAAAAACTTGGTCAGAAGTTCAAATACCGTTCACTATATTATAAATTCGGTCTGGCCATAAACCGAATTCGTGGCCGTGTCTCAAGCCAATCCCAACTAGTTCGGCTCCAAAACCTTTATTAATATTGCAAAACAAAGAGTATATGCGTTGACAGTTGAAACAATGTGAAACAAGAGACTTTGAAAGGTACTGTAAAAATTGAATAACAGGGAAAAAACAATCGGATTCGAGTGCGCTGCGATAGAGGCCAATGTGCATTTTTATTGTCGTTGTGCAAAAAAATCTTGTACTTTCATAAACATTGCTATTTTTCCCGGAACTGTTCGTTATTTTCCATGCTACACTTTAGCTACTGATCGCGTTCAGCCTTTTGCGTGTACTGTGAAATTCAGCATTCTCTGGGAGTTTTGTATCTGATAGGCCATGATAAGTCGTTTCCGTGGATTGACCAGAGATTCATCCATGTGAACAGGGAAGCAAAACCACCTGTGTCTGAGTAAATATGCACATCGCTCATGCAGTCGTTAATAACAACACTACCTTGAAGGAAAAAATGGGTTGAGGGCTGGATGAGATCGAAGGAATCGAGTCATGCGCTGCAAAGGACAGAGGACAGAACTGTTCACAAAAGTTATCTAACGCTCAAGTATAACTCCAAAACAAAGGGAAATGATGGGAACATGAAAGATCCAAGATGTGCTAAAGGAGATTCTTTCACAGCCCTGGAAATGAGCCCTTGAATATAGAATGCATGATGGAAGAGGTACTTGTAATAGTTCTTTAGGGGCATTGGTATTGAATTAAAGTTCCGGAGATCAGGTGATTGCGCGAAGGGTGAAGGGAGATGGAATGCCTGCAATTGTGATGGGCCGCACATGTTCACGATAGGCAGAATTCTCACAATATTCACAGGCTAAGTGAATCAGCAATAGATCGGTGTACATCGGAGAAAAGAATGGAGGGCTGCTCATCCGGAAGGGGAATGGGGCACGTACCGGGAAGTCTATAGTATACGTTCGAATGTGTGCTTGAACGAAGGCTCGGATTTTTAGAAAAGTTCGCAGAAAGGTTAGAAGGGGGGAACGAATTTTACTTATGAGGAGCGGTTGGAGCACAGAAGAGTCGAGCTGTAGGAAAGTGAAGCATCGCTTTCCCGTTCAAAAAAGGCTTGGGTAGCTGGGGAACGTCAATATGGATGCAACGGAGCAGCAGTGAAGTGAAAGAAAATGGAAACAGCTACGCGTGTTTGTGTCGTCGAATCCTGTTTTTGCTTTTTGGAATACATGCTTGTGCCTTGTTTTTACCCATTGAATGTAGGGATCCCAGGCTTGTGTGGGTGAAAACAATATACAGGAAAAATCAATGCTCATTGAAGTATCAGCAGTTCTCAAGCGAGTGAATTTGCAAAATACTGACGTAAAAAGTAGCCTTTTACCTCAAATTTCACCACTTGCTGTAGATGGAGTAGTGATGTTAGTCAATTTTTTCCCGTTTCATCCCTTATTTTTGTAGATCATCGTTTTGAGATGGTCTAGTAGATGAAGTCAATGAATAGAGTGTACCTATGCTTCATTAGAAGTGGTACGCTACATACTTAGTGTTACAGAATGTTTGGGTTCTCATTTGGGTAGAATAATTGGGGAAAACAATTGTAAAAATCTGGGAGAAGTGAAGGAACTCGAACTTATGTTAGCTAGCGACACGATACATGAAACGATCGCGGCGACCATCGAAAATTTGGAATCTAACTTACAAGGTGAAGGACTGTACAGGGTTTAGGACATTCTAATAAAGAGACGTGGTGATTGAGATGAGTTGCTTACGAAAAGCCTTGTTTCTTGATCGATTCTCTCGTTATATCGTACAATTATGGCATAACAAACCCGC